AATTTGAACCTCAGTGTTACATAAAACCCAAGCATGGTGGTTCACACTGGCAGTCCCAGCATTTGGGAGACTAAGGCAAAAGAATAGAAAATTTAGTCATAGGGAGCTAGGGAAATGACTCAGAGGCAAATAACTTTTGCTGCTCTTGCAGATGGACCTGTGTTAGACTCCCAGCCCCCATATGGTAGCTTGTGACAACTCAATACTTCAGTTCCAGGAGGTACAATGCCCTCTTCTGACCTTCTCAGACACCAGGCAATACACAGTTCGCCTACATACATGTAGGCAAAACATTTATACAAATAAAATAAATAGGTCTTTTGAAAATATTTTTGAAGTCTGTCGTAGGTTGGCAAGATGGCTCAGCAGGTAAAGGTACTTGCTGCTAAGCCTGACGACCTAAGTTCAACCCCCAATATGCACACGGTAGAAGGAGAGAGAGCTCCTGCAACTTGTCCTGTGACCTCTACATGCATGTTGTGGCTCACACAAACACACATAATGTTAGCACTCTAATTTAAAGACAGTAATTGTAGCCGCCAGGAGGTGGTGGCACACACGTTTAATCCCAGCGCTCAGGAGGCAGAGGCAAATGGATCTCCCTGTGTTTGAGGCCAGCCTGGTCTACAGAGTGAAACTGAAAACCGACTCAACAAGAGGGTGCTGGAAATGTCCGTCGCTAACTACTCTATGCTAGTGAAGTCAAGCTTAGTGGAGGAGAATCTACAACCTCTAATTTACTAAACCAGCATAATCCCTAATAATCTATAAACATTTGTCCTTACACCCGCATCAAGGAAACTCCTCTTTAAAGCAGAGATCACTACAGAAAATCACAACCAATCAAAAGGCAGCACTGTGGAGCCGATCCCAATGGATACTTCTACAAAACATTCCCACACCTAGGGCTCAGGCATCATCTTGGAAGAGGGAGCAGAAAGATGGCAAAAGTCAGAGGATCCAAGAGTTTGTTGTGTGATATGTCGTCCAGTAATATTGGAAGCCACACCAATAGTCTCACCAACATGACTGCCAAACGTGAGCTGAACAGGGACATCAACGGACATGCCAACACAGATAGGGAAAAGTCCCAGGAGACCTCAGCCGTACATGAAGAACTACACGCAGCTGAATAAAGCTGGGGGCGGGAGGGGCCGTCCTCCCCCAGAGAAAGCACTCAAATGGTTGTCCGGTGTCTCATGGTTGACCTTGAAAACAGACGTACAAATAACTCTACACAGACTGAGCGGATTACATTTAGAAATATGTGTATGTATACATGCATCCATGCATTCAGTAACAATGAGAAAAGAGACCATGAATTTGAAAAAGAGTGAGAAGAGACATATGGTAGGGTCTGGAGGAAGGAAAAGTAGGGTGTTGTAATTAAACTATAATCTCAAAAATAATTCTTTTAAATGTAGAAAAAGATTTAAATGACAAATTGCCACTTATTAAAAAAAAACATAGGGGGCTGGAGAAATGGATCAGCAGTTAAGAACACTGGCTGCTCTTCCAGAGGACCCAGGTTCAATTCCCAACACCCACATGGCTGCTCACAACTGTCTGTAACTCCAGTTCCAGGGGATCTGACACCCTCACACCAATGCTCATAAAATAAAATTGAATAAACTTTTAAAATATCTTTAAAACGATACACACACACACACATATATATATATATGAAACTTTAAAAAAAACTAACCGTGGTGACAATTACATTATGATCAGTGTACACGAGGTTTAAAGTACACTCTAACCTTTGTTTTGTTTTAAATGGACTCTCAGTATGCAGCCCTGGCTGATCTCAAACTTACTAAGTGGCTGAGGGTGACTTTGAACTTTCCTACCTCAAAATTTTTTGTTTATTATTTTGTTTGTTTCGTTTTTTGTTTGTTTGTTTGCTTGCTTGCTTGTTTTTGTTTTTTTTTTTTTTTTTTTGCAATTGGGTTTCTCTGTGTAGTCCTGGCTGTCCTGGAACTTGCTCTGTAGACCAGGCTGGCCTGGAACTCAGAGATCCACCTGCCTCTGACTCCTAAGTGCTGGGATTAACGGAGTGTGCCACCTGGCTAAATGTTTACTATTACTGACGTATGTGTGCATGAGTGAGTGTGTGAGTGTAGGTACCAGGCGATGTGTGAAGCTCAGAGAACAACTTGATGGAGTCCTTTCTCTCTCCCTCGCCCTTTGCGTGGGCTCTGGGGATTGAACTCAGGTCGCCCGGCCTGTTCAGCAAGCCTTTTTACTTTTATTCCGTGAATCACTTCAAGAATCTGACCTTAAACTTCAGACCCTCTTTGAGGTGCCACGATCACAGGCCTGAAATGCATTTGTTAGTAAAAGGATGTGTTTTATAATACACGAATTTCACCTCCATAAAAAAATGATGAGGGAAAAAAGGCAGAAGATCAGGTGTGGTGGGGCACACCGGTGACCCCGGCTCGAAGAGGAAAGAGAGTCAAGTTCAGATGAGTGTGTACAGGACGTTTGTGATTCCCTCAGCGCTCGCTCCTGCTCCTTATGTGCCGCTGATGTAGGGTGGGCAGGACAGTCCGAGCTGATGAGATGGGAGCAAAGGTCAGGAGCTTTCCAACGGCTTTTCTATAGGCTCCCCTGGGAAGGGAACAAGACTCACACTTTGTCCTCTGAATTGTTGTATCTGATATGGGGGTGGCACTGAAGCAGCCACATCTCGTGGCCTGAACGTGACACTCTTAGGAGGGCAGAGCCAGGAGATAGCGGCCTGAGCTGAGCCCTCTGTGGAGTTCCTCTACCCTCTGGACTCTGGGTGTGTGAGACAATATGCTCCCAAATTGTTTCGTGTCTTTCCTGATCAGGATCTTTTACTTCATCCAAGTTTATAGCTTATAATAGGAACTTAAATGAAGAAGTGAGGGGATAGTTTGTTTTCAAAGACGGGCTCATGTAGCCTCCGCCAACCTCTAACTCAATAAGCCTGGAGCGTGCCCTTGAATTTCTGATCCACAACCTCCCAAGAGCCAGAATCCCAGGCTGTGTCTTCATGGCGTGTGAGGTGCCAGGAGCCCCACCCTAAGCCTTGTGCAGACTAAGCAAGCACTTATCAGTTGAGCTATATTCCCAGCCCAGAACCATGATTTAAGTGTTTTATTTTCTAAATTCTGTATACAAAGAGTATGAATTTGATGGGTTGAGGGTTAATCCAACTGGAACATGAGCATGTCTCTTTGCCCACACAGAACCCAGAACCACGGTGGAGTTTAAAGAACCTAGAAACAGAATTGGATATGTAATCCCGACGGTTGGGATTACAGATGTGGGCCCCCAGGCCTGGTTTACACAGCGCTGGGAGTTAGAGGCTCTGTACACGCTAGGCAGACACTCGACCAACTGAGCCACGTCCTCAGCCCATCAGTTAAGCTTTAAAAATAAAAACATAATGCTGTGATCCAAGCAAAATGCAGCAAGGCTGTCTGCGGCCTCCATTTAGCCTCAGGTTTACAGCGGGAAAACTTCAAAGCGGACGTGTGAAAGCCGAAGGTCTGTCCTGTGCAGCCAGGCGGAGCAGTACCCTCCTGCGGTGCTTCTCAGACACTGGATGGATCCCAAGCCAAATGACTGAAAAGTCGTGTTGTGTGACCTTCTTATTGTTGATTTTTGTTTGTTGGTTTTGTTTGTATAGGTTTTATTTTGTTTTGTTTTGGTGAGTTTTTTTTTCCTAAATTTTTGTCATTGTTTTGGTTTGGTTTGGTTTGGTTTGGTTTGGTTTGGTTTGGTTTTCCAAGACAGGGTTTCTCTCTGTCACAACTCTGCCTGTCCTGGAACTTGATTTGTAGACCAGAATAGCCTAGAACTCACAGAGATCCTGCCTGCCTCTGCCTCCCGAGTGCTAGACTTGAAGGTACATGCCATCACACCTGGCATGTTGTGGTTTTTTTGTTTTGTTTTGTTTTCAGTTTTTCAAGACAGGGTTTCTCTGTAGCTTTGGAGCTTGTCCTGGAACTAGCTCTTGTAGACCAGGCTGGTCTCGAACTCACAGAGATCCACCTGCCTCTGCCTTCCGAATGCTGGGATTAAAGGCGTGTGCCAACACCACCTGGCTGTTTTTTTTTTAATTTTTCGTATTATGTGTGGATCTATCTGTGTGTGTGCACACCACATGTGTGCAAAAGCCTGTGGAGGTCAAAAGAGGGCCTCAACGCCCCCGAAACTGGATTTCCAGGTGCTTTTGGTAATCTCACGTGGGTGTTAGGATCTGAGCTCAGGTCCTCTATAAGAGCAGAAAGTACTCTTGACTTCTGAACCATTTCTACAGCGGCAAAAGATGTGTTCATAAAAACACAGCAACAAGAAACACTTAAATACAAATGTACACACTAGGAAAGGAAATGGCCTGTTACCTGAAGCTACTGATTTATTTTTCTGTGTATGTGTATTTTGTCTGCATGTACCACATGCATGCCTGGTGCCTGAAGAACAAAAAGAAGGTGTCGGGTTCCCTGCAACTGGAGCCACACTGGTTGTGAGTCACTATGTGGGTGCTGAGAATTGAACCCATGTCTTCTGGAAGATCAGCAAATGTTCTTGTTTTTTGGTTGTTTATTTGTTTCTGTTTTGTTTTGGGGGGTTTTTTGGCTTTTCTTTTTTTCTTTTTCTTTTCAAAATGTTAAGTTTTATTCACAAAGCTTTTCCTTGTTGTACAGAAAGTAAAAATGTTACTACAATCTCAGTGTAACTGGCAGCCAGGACGGTCAAGTCACCCATCACAGCTGTCACGACACAGCAAGTCTTACACGAAAACCTAACGATGTTTACACTTTTGTTGGGGCAGAAGTCCCCAGGCTTGGTGGTGGATTACCAAGGGGAGACGGAGGAAAGCAGAATGTCTTCAGAACTATTCTTTGGCTCTTTGGGCGGGGTGTCCTGGGGTCGTATCACAGCTACCTTTGTAAAACAGCTACCAAACCCATGACAGCCCAACCAACACTCAACAGTTCTGTTCTTGCAGATTGTTTGGGGTCTCAATCATCTTCTCCTTCATCATCTGTTTCCCTCTTCCTCTTTTCACCTTTCCCACTTTCTTCCTCCTCTTCATCCTCCACTTCTTCATCTTCATCAACTTCTCCATCATGTCCAAATTCTTCTTCCTCCTCCTCTTCTCCTTTTCATCTGCGTCTTCTTTATCCACGCCCTCGATCTCCACATCTGAGTCGGGGGCTTCCTGGTCCTCTGGGTCATAGCCGTCCAGATAGGACAGCTGGGGCAGGCGCTTGAAGACACTCTCTCGGTAATCGTTCAGGTTAGCGGCCTCACAGCCAACGAGATCCAGGCTTTTCAGACAATCCAATTTTTTCAAAGGTTCCAAGGTGCTGATATCTTTCAGCTTATTTCCACTTACGTTCAGATGTGTGCGGCTTGGAAGTTCTTCTGCTACTCTGCCCTGACCTCCAGAGATTCTATTATCGCTGGGCTCAAGCTTTTTCAGTATAGGTAGCGCCGGGAGGTCTGAAAGTGAAAACAAGCCTACACTTATTAAACCAAGGAACTCTAGGCTCTCAAATTCATCCGTTAACCCCTCAATTTTCCCATCATTTGCTTTGCAATTATCCAAGACAAGTTCTTGAACTGCTGCCGGGGTCTGGCTCCTTAGCTCCAGGTGGATGGGTCCTCTTCTTCATGTGCGTGTTTCCTTCGTGTTCCCCCACACACTTCAAACTTAACTTTCCACGGTGGGGGCGGAGTGGGAGAGGCCACCTGGCCTGCGTGATGAGAGCCTTCAGACGTGATGCCAAGAGGCAGGCAAGCGGAGCCCTGGGAGCCAAGTTATTCACAGGAGCGAGAGAAACCATGGAGGGAAAAGGGGGCCTCCGGCCAAGGCCCCACACTCGTTTTTGTTGTTGTTGTTGTTTGTTTGCTTGCTTTGGTTTGGTTTGGTTTGGTTTTTGGAGACAGACTTTCTCTGTGTAAGAACCCTAGCTATCCTGGAACTCACTCTGTAGACCAGGCTGGCTTCGAATTCATAGAGATCCTCCTTTCTCTTCCTCCTGAGAACTAGGACTAAAGGAGGGTGCCACCACCGCCTGGCTCAGCAAATGCTCTTAACCACTGAGATCTCTCTCCAGTCTGCACGGGACTATTTAGTGTCATCTGCTGAATTTTCACTTCAATCTTTGCGGCAGCCTAGTGGTATATATGGTCACCGATGAGCCACCAATGTGACTGGTCCTCCTGTCACTAAGGTGCTACCATCCTTGCCATCATAAGTTGGCAAAGTCATTCACTTGCAACTCAGAAAGGAGATAGCGGAGTGAGAACCAAGAAGACTGGTCCCAAAGGACCATGAGCGTCAAGAGAAATGGGGGGGGGGGGGACTTGTTACAGCTCTCCGCAGCTTCCCAGCCTACCCTAGCACAGTGCTGGCCTCAACGGTTGCCCAACAAAGACAGGAGTGAAGCCAAAGCCAGTGAAGGCCTCTGACTCAGAGAATGTGGCTCATTTTCATAGGTCTAAATGTCATGTTAAAAATAAATGGGCTGTGTGACACGGCAGCAAGGACTTCTACTCGCTATTCAGAAGTCTTACCTCAGCTTGCAGATTGTGAAACTCTAGAGTCGGCTACAGTGAGGAAGTGGAGGCCACATTCATGCAGGACTTTGGCATGAGGGTAAACGTCTGATGTGCTGGTCAGATGCTATCACTGCCAGGCAGGAAAGGGGATCACATGTGATGTGTCTGCTTCTGTCTGTCCATCACCTCCACTTACAAACAGCCAAGCTGCTCCCCGTTGTCTGTCCCCCATGGCGTAGCACTGACAGACTCAACAGGGACGGCCTTGAACACTGTCAGCTGAACTGTTGAAACCCCAAACAACAAACCGCTACATTCAAGACACAGCGGTGGCACCTTTAATCCCATTGCTCAGGAGACAGAAGCGAGAGGATCTCTGTGAGTTCAAAACCAACCTGGTCTACGCAGTGAGTTCCAGAGCCAGGGCTACATAGTGAAACCCTGTCTCAGAACAGAGACAAACAAATCTGTACATTTTAAGATCAAATCCCTTGCTTTTTGTTTTGTTTTGGTTTGGTTTGGTTTTTGGTTTTGTTTTTTGTTTTTCCTGGCAGGGTTTCTATGTGTAACACACAGCTCTGGCTGTCCTAGAAGTAGCTCTGTAGACCAGGCTGGCCTCAAACTCACTGAGATCTCTGCCTCTGCCTCCCAAGTGTTGGCATTAAACATATGCCATTTAAAGGGATTAAATTCCACTCAATTGAAGTTCAGCTTGAAGTATACATTGTTCACAGCAGAGCTAGGATTAGAACCCCTGTCAAATCCCTCCACGGCCTGGGTTCCTGAGAAGGATTCAGAGCAGAGAGCCTGAGTCTACCTACTGGAAGAGACCCAAGGGCCTCCGCAGGCCTGAGAAGCATGACTGAGAGCTTGAGAGGATACTGAAGACTCTGAGAAGCCTGTAAAGGGATGGAATGCCCACCGGGGAAATGCAAGCTGGGCAGAGCCTTCCAGAAATGAGTGTGGAATGATTTGTCCCGTTCAGGCTGAGATGGTGGGGAACAGGAAGTTCTCTAAAGCAAGACTCAGAGCTGCCAAGAGTCAGACCTGCACTGCTGGGCTGCCCAGCTCAGATTTTCCTCCAAGGGCCCGGGGCCCACTCACAGTGCCTTGGGCTACTCTCATTCCCCTCCCCCACCTATACAGGAGCCTCAGCATTGTTCCTAACATACTCTGCTGTAACAGGCTTCCTTGGACCCCAGCCCCCCCAAATCATGACACCGAGACTTAGTATTAATTATGAATGCTCGGCCCTACTATATGCAAGTCCCATTAGCTCTTATAACTTAATTAAAACTGTTTCTCTTGGTCTACGTTTTGCCAGGGCAGGGGTTACCTTTATTCATTCTATATGTCCTACACCATGGCAAGCTGACTGGCTGGCAGCTGCCTGCCTAGCCCAGGCATCCCCTCTCTTTCTCCCTTGTTCTCTCCTCCTCTCTCTAGCCTAGATTCCTCCTATTTATTATCTCTGCCCACCAGTCCTGCCTACCCCTCTACTACCTGGTTATTGGCCATCCAACTTAATATTAGACCAATCAGGTGCCTTAGGGAGGCAAGGTAAAACAGCAACACATCTTAATATATTTAAACAAATGCAGCACAATGGTAACACGTCTTTACATAGTTAAAGTAACAGTCCACAGCATAAGCAAATATAGCATATCTTTACTTCCATAAAGTAACAGTCCACAACACTCTGCAGTTTAATTAGATGCTTATGTCCTTCCTCGGGATACCAAGAAACTTGAAACTTTCCTCTTCTTAAAGAAAAAAAAAATGGGGCAAGAAAGAAGACTCAGCAGGTAAAGGCACCAAACCAGACAACCCGACTTCAACCCGACCCACTTGGTACAAAGAGAGAACTAGCTCCCCCAAATTGTCCTCTGACTGTGTGCATGCACTGTGGCACCCCAGGCTCACGTACATAAGTAAGTAAATAAGATCGAAAGATGATAGACAGATGTCCTTTTTTTTTTTTTTTTTTTTTT